TCACGAGATAACAGTGCATAAAATAAAAAATATCCATGGCCGTTCTCGGCTTCCGTACATTTGTGTTGTAAGTAAGGAAATAAAAAATATTTCCAAAAATGTCGAACTTTTTCTTTAATCACACACTCCTGGCTCCATGCTTGTGTAATGTGTGTTAAGCATAGCACAGCATTTACCTAGATCCATGCTCTTGGACTTGCGTGTCTTGACGATCTCCAGGTGAGCAGCGTTTTCATACTGTTTGGTGCGTTTCTCTGACATACTCTGGCGACCAAAGCCCTCCCTCTGGAACGAACCGTCAGCGTCTGCATCTGGACTGAGTGAGCTACAGTTCATGAGGAAGCAGAGGAGGGAGAAACAGACACAGAAGTATTATAGTGTTGCCGCGAGACAGGGCGAATGTAGGGCCATCAGAAAAGCATACCCTTTAATCTAAAGATTATCCAATTAAAGATATATTTTGCAATCATCTATATCATGTTGCGGTTATATTGCTAAGGGATGTCCTTATAACAAGACTGGGAGATAAAATCTACCTATTAATATTCATACAACCCCAAACCTCAGCCCAAAACACTCCTTTACTATCAGATAATGACCATCGGCATTCAACACACACACACACACACACACACACACACACTCAGTTTAAATCCTTCATTTCAATGACTATTCTAATCAAGGACACCTCCACCTCTGTTGGGTGGGATCAGGACAGGCTACAATTGGGAAATGAGGCCCGGCTAAGATGTGTGATACCCCAGTGAGGTGAGGGTGCTCTGGGGTCATGGCCACTCAATAACCACCCCCCCTCCTCCCATATGTCTGGAGCTGTGGCAGAGCACGGCCCACTATAGTGTTGCTCCCTTTGAGATCCTCTATCTCTGTCTGGATCTTAATTGAAAATCAGAGGGGAGTGGGAAAAGGAGGTTGGGAGAGAGGTTTGGTATTTGCATGCATAAGAGTGCATTTACAATTAAGTTGAGAACACCTTGCTATTTGAGGGGAGACAGGAGGGAGGAGATGCAGTGCTGATGGAGTCTAATAAATGTTACATGCATGAAAGGACACTGTCACCGTCTCTTTTGTTCTGTTGATGATCACACATTATGACCACTAAAGACTGTTTGTATTTTTACCACTAGGGGTCCATTACGAGACTGAAATTTCTGCATTTTCAGAAATATCATCAAATGATCTGATCTCTCCTTTGGTTACAAAAAGAAAGCTTTTGTCCTGAACTGGACATCATGATTATATGTTTGAAAGTGGAGTAGTAGGGAGGAAACATGTTTTTCCTTCAAGCAGCCTTCAATATTTGTAATATCACTTAACAGCAACTGCAGACCTGCTGGCACTTGTTTGCACGTAAACAATTCTTATTTGGGTTGTCAACCCCATTTAACAAAAGAGCTGCTTCATGTGTCACCGAAGGGCTGGCGTCAACATGTCACTTTGCTGTCGACCACACCTGACAGTCCCAACTAAGATCAGACCGCCTCACAGGACTGACTCCAGCCGACACAGGAAGAGAGGGAGGTGGAGCAGGAAGAGAGGAATGACAGCACAGATGTATAATTCATTTATTCATCAACCCTCGCTATTCTCCTCTCATCATTTCAAGCCCACAAAAACCAGCCTGCCCTCTCTTTTTCTGTCTCCGCAAATGTCATCTGTCGGAGCGTGACTGAGACGGTGCCGGAGAGAAAGGATGTATTTTCAGCCTGAATTTAGATTTCCTTCACTCTTGCCAGTATTGTGTTTTTTTGGGGAGGCAAATGAACAGACACAGAACATAGAAAAAGTGAGAGGCCAGCAGGTGGGTTCATGCACAGTCTTGTCACACAGGTTCAGAGAGCTGGTGAGCGTGTGGCCGTTATGTGCGATATCTGTGGGCAGTAAGAGTGAAGTTCAGGAGGACAGCCCAGTGGTGGTGCAAATTCACTCAGTAGGACATCAGATCTGTTGGTTTAAGCTGCTGCCCACTTTAACACTGCTTCTGCCTTCCTTTGGTTCATACAGAGCAATGACTAAATGCCCAGGTTGGGGATCCAGGTTAACCTGAAGAGAAATAGCCAATTGTGTTGTGTCTTTGAGCACCCCTCCAAGCCGGAGGTACCTGCTGTCAGGACTTGCACCTGAGCCTCTGCAGAAGTAACCATAACTATTTAAAGGGGTGGCAGTGACACTGTATACTACTGGTTCCCACCTTTTTTAACTTGTGTCCCATTATAGCCAAGCAATGCATACCTGTGCACCTTTGTCACTGGTTGCATATTATGTGTTTGAATTAATTAAATATTAAACTATTCAGATCTGTTAAATTCAGAAACAAATTTAAAAAGCCTTGTGTTCCAAATTTGGCAGGAAATAAATGTACTACTTATTGTGCCAAAGGCATGGAGAGGCTAGTATTAATCTTCTAGTCTACTTAAAGCTGGCACATAAAGATTCACAGCTACTACAGTCCATTACAGCACTCAATTACAGATCTCGTATTCACTTTCTACTGGCTATTAATTTTCCCATAGGAACGCTCGTTGTAATGAGATACTGCTTTGGAAGTCTCTTTTTTCTGATCCAGATGCTTCTTAAGCTCAAACATAGTCTTATGGTGGAAAGAAAAGCCAATTGAAAAAGACTTGAATGTTGAGTCTATGAAGGTGAGACCCATACTTGGACTTTGATGACGACTGAATTGTTCACTTTGGTCACGTACTCAATGAAAAACGTATTGATAGATGGAAATAAGAAATAGCTTGACCATGTGACCACCTCCCAGACAAGTTAGATAATCTGCAGAATGGCACAATTTCTTCCTTAGACCATCCATTCCATCCACGCCTCTGGACTATCTTATATCTATACTGGGTCCAATCCATTTGGATACTATCTTCCCTCTTCTCTCGTTCTTTATGCAGTGTTTAAAAGTAATTTCCACCATTCCGAGCAGATGCTTTCCTCCCGTTCAAAGACCTCCTGTCATCTAAAATTAACTAGCACTGAGGATTGCTCACAGGCAAATCCACAGCTTTAACTTGCATTTTACATCAACTTGTTCCTGTCTCCGTCTCACTCATAGGAAGTTAAATGTGTCAAACTGCACATCAGCTTTGTTGCTAAGTGGTGTGTGCTAAAAGCCCTCTGTGCTCACAATTTGCCCTGGTGACTTGTGTAATTCTTTTTTAACCTCTTTTTCTCCTTTTTCCCCAACTCCCAAACCCTCTTACCCTCATTAAAAAATGACCCCAAAGAGGTAAGTCTCAAAGCCTTCTTGGAAAAGTGCAGCACGGTTTGATCGACTAGCAGGGGGTTCCGTGCATTAGTTTCAACGCCTCAGAGAGGGGGCAAGAGGTGGAGAGCGATGCCCGGTAAGGTGCTTCTGAAATGGCCCTTCTGAGGTTTGAAGGAGGCAGATTCAGCTGACCGCATGGGCGCATAGCTGGGCCAAGGAGCTTCAAGCTGTCTTCAATCAAACAAAAAACTCTGCATGGCCTGTACTGCAGGCATGTGCACCAGTGGACACTAGATATTTGGATACATTTCTACATTTCAGAGTAAAAAAGGTGTACAAGGAGGTCTTCTCTTCCATCATTGTAACAATTTTCTTAAACACGAATGTGCTGTAAAAATATGTCTCAGATTACCACTTTTATTTCACTCGCTTAATTGCACCTGTAAAACATTTGACTTAAACCTGAGTATAAAGACTGTAAAATAAAACGGTTCATTGAGTGCCACACACAGGAGCAGCTGCACCTGTGATTTCATGTAATCTACTTTTAATTGTGATGAAGTTGCAGAGAGAGACTGAGAGGGAGAGAACAAAATCAATTAAGACCTCTTTGTCCGTCGGCTGACTCCTGCGTAGACCTCCTCATTCATTCCCTGCCTGCTGTATGGATGCTTGAATTGAGTTCTGTTGCACCGACTTCTCCAGGCTGCTGAATGGGAGAGCGACTGACAAGAACCAGGCAGAGATGATATTTTGGTTTGTGAGGCAACAGTGTGTGTGCAGGCTACTTTGGCATCAGTCATGCTGAGATTCACCTGCACCCCTGTCACAATGAGGCAGTGTAGGGCACACAGACTCACACATAGTGCACAACACAGGAAGCCATAGATAAACAGACTCAAGGTGAGCACAGAAATGAAAGCATGTATGACATGCTTGTAGCAATGGCGCGCCACTGAGACATGGTAAATATTCATAAAGCCAGGGGAAGCTATTAGCATTTAAGGAAAAAATGCCTGCAATTAATGTGTGTGTATGTGTGTGTGTACTACCTGGTGTTAAAGTCACAGCCAACCTGAATGGACATTTGAGATGAGTCAAATAGTGTATATGCGCACGTACTACAGGGCTGTTTGCATTTATATGTAGTTATGCTGATAGCCTGATGGGAAAAACACATGTGCTTAATAGAGCACTTGTGATTCTTAGTTACATTACTGATGATAGAGACTATTAGGGAGTCAACTGAAGTAGGCAGTCTGCCTGCAATGTTAGCTTGGAAGTTTGTTTGTTCGTGTCTATGCGGACCTTTTCCACTTTATATGTTAATTTGTGAAATTGTTTACCAGCCAATGTGTATCTAAACACTCGTGAGACTGAGCGCGTCAGTGCAGCAGTGTGTGTGTGTATTTGTCTGGACTCCTTTTCCATCTCTGCTGGTTGACAGACTGTGTCAGAGCTGCCTGGAAAATGATGTTTCCACCTGTGACATCTCACAAAGACAGAGAAGGACACAGTCTAGTCCTCTCTCTCTTTCCTTCTCTGTCTCTCTCGCTGTCCATTTCTCTTCCCTCTTACCTTAATGAGAATTGACACCTATCCTCCACTCTGTCAGCTATACCTGGATTGAGGTCCAAGCCATAGGGAGAGTGTTAACTAGTTATATCAGGGCTGTGACAGTGCCCCTAGTGGTACTAGTGTGGGGGGGATTCATCACACTTCCTGTAGCCAGAGAGAGCCAGAGCCAGAGATTAGATATAGATTCTGAATAGGTTTTACTGTTTAGGGACTATGAAAATGTTTATATTAACCTAACATGCAATGTTTCTATCCATTAGGGTTGAGGATCTGACAATTTCTTAAAAAAACAGATTTTTAAACATTTGTGTGTGAAGGGTCTGTGATATTGAGGAAAGACTGTGATAAGTTTGGAAAACCAGGCATCCTTGCACGGTTATTTTTAACTACTTAGTCTAACTACTACTTTTTCAATGCCAAAAAAACAAAGAAAAGAAAAAAATAGTATTCACTGTTAACCCTATAATTCAATCACTGGTAGATTTAAAAACCCACAGGCTTTCAATAATACA